AAGATCATGCTGAGCTTTGAACTTCAAGCTAACACCCGGCCGGCTGGTGTGGCTCCATGGATTGAGCATCAATCTGTGAACCAAGAGGTCCGGGGTTTGATTCCCAGTCACAGCACATGCCTGGGTTGTAGGCTTGATCCCCAGTAGGGGCGTGCAGGAGGCAGCCAATCAATGAGTCTCTCTTATCATTGTTGTTTCTATCTCTCTTCCTCTCCCTTCCTCTCTGAAATCAATAAAAAATATATATATATTTTAAATCTATTGTAACCAGGTTGTTTTGGTATTTGAATTCCTCAAAGTTGAATAGTAGGAGCTCCTCAATGACTCCATCAATCTTTTTTTCCTCTCTTTATAATCATTACTATTTTATTATTGCTTGGATTGCCTGCTCTCCCAGAACTTGACATGAGACCAGAAACACCAATCCCAGCCAGAGAGGATATGAGGGCGAGGAGGCATTTGACCACCATACCAGGTATGTAAATAAACCAGAAAAGGTCTCTGTGGGCTCTGCCCTGACCCCTTCTTCTACCCTACGGCTCCCAGTGAACATCTAAGTTCTAGTTTCCTTCCTGTCTCTACAAGAGTGTCAGATGGTCCACCCAGTAAAGGTCAACCTTTACCTTAACTGAGTCTGTCTGTCTTTTTGCATCTATGCAAAGAGCTGCCTTCCAACTGTCTAAGATTCTGCCTATCTCATATGGCCTTTATGTTTTCTCTTGCTGAGCACTATTCATTCCATGGGTCAATTATATTGTCCCAGAGAACTCCTGTGGCCATTTCCTGTTCCCTGTTGTCCTATCTTTCCTAGTTCTTCTAGCTACTGTGTTATTTGCAGTGGAGCAAAGGACGGGAAGGTAATGTGTCTTTTCCTCCTGTTCCCGTGGGAACCACCGGGGCCCTGCTGTGGTTTCACCTGTTCTCTGTGCCTTGGAAACAGACAGAAACACACAGACACCACGTCATTCAGGAGAGGAGAGCACAGCCCTCTGCTCTGCCTTGTGCTCACCATGGAGACGGTTCTCAGGGTCAGAGTCCCCACAGGCGACTCAGCACAGGCCACAGTGAGAAGCAGGCGAAGAGCCAAAGGGTTGGACTGAGGGCCTGGACTGTATCAGGAGACAACAGGGGAGTGGGGTCCAGTAACGTGAAGTGGGTGATGCTCCGCAGGATAGGAACTCCCCAAAGCAGGGCGTGTGAGTGCTTTCTGTTCCCTGCTAAAGGGAGAGCTGGTCTCTGAGGAGCTGGCTGGGACTCTTGACACAGACAGACAAGGCTTCCCAAGCATGCAGTGCCTTTGTGCTGACTGGTCCTGGAACCTAAAGTCCATGGGAGGGTCCTGGGTCTGCAGAACCTCCGCCAAAAAGGAGGAAGGTATGGGATCCCAGAGACCGGCTCCCACTGGGAGAGGCCAGTGCCCAGTGGGTGGAGCCAAGACTCCCTCAGCGAGTAGCACCCATTCCGGTGCCTGTGAGCAGGACTCCAGGTGATGATGGAGGCGGCTGCAGAAAAGGGCACCACTGAGCTCTGAGAAGGGCGGCCTCCCCGTCACTGTCACTGAGGGCGTCTCGGGCGCATGGGCCTTGGTGCTGCTCTGTTTCTCCATATCCTGGCTCCCCCACTGAGGAAGTGGGGGGGGGGGGGGGGGGGGAATAGGCAGCCCACCTTAGTCTTAGAAACAGTCTCAGGCCTGGAAGGACCTTGGAAGCCAAACCTGGGGCCCCCGGTGTCTCGGCACTTGCCTCCTGCCTCCTCCTGCCCCACAGGAACCCCAACCCGAAGACCCTCTTGTCGTGGGAGGACGGAACTTTGGTTCTCAAATGTAGGACCCTCCCCTGACGAAGATGGACTAGGAGTGTGGACATGAGGGTCGCAGGACCCAGACTGGTCAGCACAGGGGCCGAAATGCCGCCGGGGCCCCACCTCGTGCACAACCAAGAGGGACTTGCCAAGATCGCACAACAGCTGACAGTGGAGCTATCGTTCTTTACCACCTCAGACCTGAGGCTGCACGGAGGGGGGTGGAAAGAATGGGAATCGGGTGGAGAGCCTGGGAGGACTTTCCGGAGAGGGCGGTGTGGGAGCAGGGTGTACAGA